ATAATAGTAATAATAATAATACTGACTTTATTATAGTATTTTCACTGAAAGGTGGCTAACATGTAACAAACTAATCTAACAAACCCATGCATGTAAATCAGCAATTAGTACGGTTATCAATGATACGAGCATCGGTAGAAATTGGCCCTTCGAACAGGGTTAACGCGCACTAATGTGGGTCTTCCTTGCAGACCGTAATTTACTCCCCTTTTGTGGATTACCATATTCTTTCTTACCCTCCCCTCCCTCCTTGTCTTCGAGCCTAATCCACTCGCCCTGACTGCCTTTCTATCACTTTTCATTTCAAGCTATTTCGTTTGGGTTTTGTAGGTTCTCCAACATCGCTGTCCTCCTCTCGATCGAGGACGACATCCTCTGAGGAAGGCGCTGATGATGGATACGAGAATGACGATGAAGATTCTGTGGGCTCTGCAAGGGATATCATGGATCGCTCTTACAGCGCGCAGTCTGAAAACGACTCTCCGAAATTTCATAATCACCCTAAAGCGCTGTACAAATTTATTTCCGAAGAGGACAGCTCTAGAACGGAGGTGAAGTTTACTCTGGGGTTTACAGATCGCTTGAAACTGCCCAATGAATTGAAACACATCCTTCGCGTTTTGTACACTAGGAAAAATTCGGATAAAACAGCGCGATCGTTTTTGAGAGAGCTTCCCCCAGGATATATGGAGGAAGCGTTGGGATCTGATCTTCTGGTTTTCTGGTCTTCTGGTAGCCCCATATCCGCGTTTTGTTAAACTTCGTGGTCAAACGTGATAAATAATGCAAGTGAAGTGGAGGCCACTGTAAGAAGGAACAGACAGAAATAGAACTTTCTGATGGCTGAAGCTTTTAGCTTGCGGAGATTTGCAGAATTGCCATTTGATTCTTGTAAAAGATATTTTCTTGATTACGTTTCTTTCCGGTTTCTCAATTCTTTGGTTGAAAGAGGAATTTGTTCTTTAGTTGAACTTTGATAATTATCGGTTTTTACTTGTTTCCAAGCAAAATTTTATCTCAATTTTAATTTTAGTTTAGCTTGCATTTTTCATCATTTGATTGTGGAACGGAAAGCGAGATTACTGACAGGTATCATTGAAGAAACCCTTTAATTTTTAAAATTCTAAACGCTTGACTTGTTGGTAAACCTGTTCAACAGGGTTTTATTCTTGTACATACTCTTTACTCCTCTTTGTAAATAATTTAAATCGTAAAAACGATAATTCTTTGATTTTATTAAATAAATGGCGTGAACAGCCCATTGTGGAAAAAGCAACTACCACAACAAAAATCTTTTATTTGTATTTAGCCTTGTGTTTCGGGTGAAATCGCTTAGGTGGTATTTCTCCATCAAATCGTGGTAAATTTCGTCAGCTTTATCAGGTGCTTCCCCACTTTAACTGAAGGGGAGAGGAAGATCCTAAGGAAGGTAGGAAATGAATAGGAAATAGGTTAAGTTGTCAATGAGTGTCAGAATGAAAGCATGCATGAAAAGACAGCATGCATGAAAAGACAGCATGCATGAAAAGACAGCATGCTCCGTTAAGACCATGTTACATTGGTCTTAATGGGGTGTTATTAACCAGGAGAGTTTATTAGCGAAAAAGGTTAACCCTGTAACACCCAGGAGTGACCAAGACAGAATTTCTCCTTACAATATCAATACAATATCAATCACATAAGTGATGAGAATAAAGAAAAATATCAATTTGGGGATCATTAGTTGATCCAATATTAAATTCTTTGAACTAACATTATAAGAATTGTATGGTTGACAGTAAGGAGAATTACAAATTTGATCTGGGAGTTAAAGGGTTGAGACCTTTTTGGCAAAAGGAGTCCAGGGTTTGATATTACAATATATTATGCGCCAGACTTTCTACTCAGGGGTTGCACAGGACCTCTCTTCACCTACCATGTTTTGATTCTGAGCTAACTTCCTCTAAAATGTTAAAAAACATCCGACCCTTATTTTTCTTGTAAATCATTGGTCAAGTAGTGTGAAGTCAACAAATTTGCACCGAAATAAATACGGTGCAATAGGTTACATAGGGTCTGAAGGAGCCTCTCTCTCTCTCTGAACCGGAAGCCTCAAACAAGGTGAACTGGGCGGTGCGTGGTCTGTTTGTGCGTCATCGACAATTGTTTCAAAAATTGGAATATCTCGGATCTGACCTTCTGGGGTAGATATGCCACAGTTTGTACAAATTCTTTTTTAATCAGGGAATTAAATGAAAGGATTTTTTTTCTGTTCAACATGGCTAGGGTTTCAAAGCTTTGGCGGCACGCCCCAAGCCAAACTCGTGGAAGAGCCATACGAAAACAACCAATTTTGTTTTTCTGCTCATAGAGTGTCAGACAGGAGACGCCCTCCGTGGACTGCTGTTTTCCGCCACTCCTCTTTAGTAAGACTTTATTTATGCAGCATCGAGTTGGTGTTTGCCCACCTGATATAAGCAAAGTGTTTCACTTTGGTATGATCGCGTGTTTTATACTCGTCTGAAGCGCAAAGTAATGGCTATTTTCGAAGCGTTTATATTTCTTGTATTACGTAGTTATTGCAATTTTTCAATTCAATTGCAAAACATCTGTCGAACACATTTCAAGCACACCTGTTTTGTTTGGTTAGGCAAGTTTTTTGTTTAATTCTAGATTCAATAATTCCCATAGAGTAGGAATTAAACCGTCCTCTAGAAGGCCACCATAAGCGTTTGTAAAACAGCTTAAGAATCAATTAAAGGAGTAAACAATTTTTTAATTGTCAAATCCTCCCGGTTGGGTATTTGTCACTTTCATTAGTCCATCATATGGGGTCCTTCAAAGCGAAACGGTATCTAATGAAGCAGTTACAGGGGTAGTCGAATTTCGTGATATTTTGTGCTGTTTTCAAATGAACCTTTGTCCGATTTCCGGTGAGAAGTCGAGAAAGTCCGCGCCCGATATTGCTTTCATTATGGATATAACGGGGGTTTTGGGTGTGATTTTATTTATCTTCAATGATGTTATCGCGTAATTTTACTCAGTTATCATCAGTGATGCACCGAAGGGTTGTATTGGAAGACGGATGGGGAGAACGAAAGTTTCAGAGGCTTGTAACTAATAAGTATCATTTACGTTCTTCCTTTTAATGTTTGCTTAATTGTCAGTATGAAGGGAGGCAGTGCACCAAAAATCTTTATTAGCTTAGACATCTCATTTGCACGGTTGTGGTTGAAAATACTGACCTCCTTCTTAACATCGGAGATGACATCATGTTGTCATCACTGAGGGCTTCTGGTAATCATTTGTAAATTGTCTGATCGTCCCAGTTGGAAATTTGTAGCGTTCAAGAGTCCATGACATGTCCAGAGTCCACGAAAATTGAAATGGGATCTTATACAGTAACTACGGGGGTCAATTGAATTGATTTTCGTGGTAATGGTATCTTTTTAATAAACCTGAGCTCTGATTTTTCCATAGTAACGTCGAGAAAATCTACCGTATACAGGTATAGCTATAATAATGAATTGAACGGTTTTCTCTGTGATATTAATCACAGAGAAAGAACTTTGTGATGATAATCACAAAGAAAGAACTCTGCGATTAAGTATGAGTTCTAAATTTTTTCACGCGAAAAGTTATCATTAGTGAAACACCGTTCGGTCGCAATGGAGACGGCTCTGTCCCGTGAGTGCATTTCACGAAAGAGGAAGTCTCCTTCCTTCCTTTGGGGAGTATTCGTGAAAGTTTTGGACGCTTGTTTTAAGTATCAGTTACGTTCTTCCTTTGAGTGTTTGTCAATATCTCGGTATAAAAAGAGGCATACGTCTCATTCGCACGGTTGCGGTTGAAAATACTGACCTCTTTCTGAGCATCGGAGATGCAGATAATTTGGTCATCACGGAGTTCTTGTGGTTTAATTTTAATCCTGTAAGTAATGTCACTTGAAGAATCGATTTGAGAATCAAAACGAGCATGCTATGCACGAGTCATCGCAACTGCTTCTCAACGATATTACTGGGCGTTTTGATTTTTTCATTTTTCAGGTTTCCATTAACATCTTTAAGTGTCAGTCCTGATGCACGTGCGTTGTCTACCAGTGCGCATTCTAAACCTTGTCCTAAAGGCATGCACAAACATAGGAAGGTAAAATACGCTGAAAGTTGCTTGTGTTGTGCGTCAATCTGACGGGATTTAACGGGTCTAACACTTTTTTCATTTTGGTTCTAGTTCGGGAGACATCGATGTTTCCCAATTCCAAATAAACAACCGAACGTCACGAATTACATGTTTGTTCAAATCTATTCAAGAGCTTCGGGAAAATACATTCAAGTTAAGAGGAACGGAGTTGACGCTGGCGGCGTGAATGGCTCACAATATGGTAAGGATGCCGATTTGTGTATGTGTGTTTTTAATGTTAAAACGTGTAGAGACAGGATACTGTAGTACAATTAAGCTTTCTGTTGCTTTGTCTTCATTAATCTCGTTTTTTTGTCCTGTTTTAAATTAAACGAACTGATTGGGATCCCGAAAGAGGCCTTCAAGCCCGTATGCTCGATCTCTCGTAACGAATGAGGATTTTTTGCCTGGGGTTGTGAGAAAAAAGGACTAGAAATCAAAATTTTTCGTTTCGTTGCCTCAGTTAACATAGACGAATATGATGGAAAGAAAAATTCACAAAGGATAAGAAGCAACTTAAGAGAAATGTCAAAGAAGAACGGTGAAGACAAGAACACGATCTCGATTAAGCAGATATCTGAGATGATTTTCCGTAAGCAAGAAAAAAGATATTTCTGGGTTAATTATTGTGGAATGTGAAAGAAAAACAAAGCTTTTTAATGAGAAACTGTTCACTGATTCTCACGCCCAAGGGCTTTTTAATTTAAACGAGCAGGGCGTCTTGTAACAAACTTAATGGAAAAAAAACACTCCACAATGATATCAAGATGTTCGGGGAATGGAAATTGTTATTTTCTTTCCTTTTTTTAAGACAACATTTGGATTGATCCTTGTTCCGGGGGTTGACGATCTTTAAAAAATCATTAGAGGATTCAAACCATTCCTTAATAGATGTCCAAGATAGGGTCATCTGTATAAAAAAGTAAACAACCTTAAACCCTCAGGCGAATACTCCCCCGGCTGTGGTTTGGGTGGGGCCCGGACCGTCGAACCTTTCATCAATGAGGTCATCCCATTCACTATTGGCGTAAAAAGTGTTAAATCAGACTCCTACAGTTAGCTACGAACCGTTTCTCGAACTCCCGGGAAAAGCTGTTTTTCTCTTCGTGTTTAACGAGTTAAGATCGAGATAGTAATAGAATTAACGGTGTTATTGTGCGTGCGAGAGAGTTTTTGTCGGCGTAGGTAACGTCTAACAATCTCTCAAATGCTTTTTTCAGCCGTCATATCCATGCGCACCAGATTTGCTAGTGCACGAATAATGCTGTCAAGTAAACAGGTTAATTTCGCACCTGTAACGATAAAATTTTTTTCGATAAATGTCCGACTCTCTGAAATTTAGATCGCTACTTATAAGATTAGTTCCAGATTAGCAAACCGGGACTGTGTATAAGATCAGATCTACGATGTGCGACCGACGGAAGTGCACATGTTAGAAAGGAAATTCTCGGGCCTTAGTGCAATACCCTAACTTCGCCTACATTCAATCTGTAGCGTTACTGAAGCTGGAGACGGGCGACTTGGCGAGTCTTGTTACCATCCAAGGGGTGAAAACAAACCGTTACCTCTGCCTAAATAGGATAGGACACATCGTTACAAGGGTGAGAAAATCTTCTCTTAACGCGTTTTATTACTAAGCACAGCTGACAGTAAATCGCTTTGACCCTGCTTTGGCTCTGACCTTCGTACAGCAACAACTTGCCTCTGATCGTGGCCATATTTATTTTGACAGACGTTAAAACCATCCCACACGTGTTATACATCTCAGACGTACAATTTATCGAGGAACTGGCCAAGTGAAAAGTCAGAATGCATCACAAAATCAAACAAGAATGTATGTTAAGTCGTAAAAAAGTGAGGGCTCGTTCCCAGGCGCTCATCCTGTTTCACTGCTCTCCGCTGACCGCGACTCATCTATTTTCTGGAGTCTTCTCGATTTTCATGCGACTTGAATAATGCATTATGACTAACTTTCATAAAGTCTTAAATTATCGCCAGTGGGAGGGGGGGGGGGAAAGGTGGGAGGACTTGAGGGGATTATAAGAATATCGCAGAGCCCTATAGGGGGATCAGTTTCATTTTATCTTTGCACATCCAAAATCCTCCAACTTCCCACCGCGCGCCACAATATACCATAATGGTTATTTCCTTCTTCTGACTATTTTTATTTATTTTAGAAGAAAAAGCAAGAATTTTCAACGATGAAGAGGTGCGAGTTTTACCAAGAAGATGTTAAGGGCTATGACCAATACAGATCAGCCAAGTATCCACAATGGATCTTGGGTTTCTCCAGACGGGGTCGTATTTTGAGCGGAATCAAGAGTGCCAATTGCAAAAGTAAATGCAGTTATTTCTTGCGATACCAGCAGCCAAACGCTCAGACAAGAAAACATCGCAGGAACCTGAGGCAGATGCTTGGAAAGCTTATGAGACGTTAAAATCCCTAACTGATAACATTAACTTATTGAAAATTGTCACTAGGGCCAACATATAGAGTTTTTTTTGCCAAGAGCTTAAGGGACTTGTATAAAGGGAGGCGTTCGGGTCTTAAAACATGCCAAACCACTCAAATTATTTATGGACGGTGTCTTGAACGGAAGTCTCTCCTCTCAGACGTTCGCCTGAAGGCAGATCTCGATCTGGTTTTCGGAGTGAAAGAGCTCTAATGGCTCTAAGTAAGGAGTTAAGTTTAATTTTCAAGCAGTAACAGACAAGTGCGAACTTAACTTTCAGTTGTGCCATAATTAATTTGAATAACACTAATTAATTTGAATAATAGTAAAGTGCACAAAGTTGAGCTAATTGATAAACATTTTTGCATGTGTGCATTTTATTAGCGCGTGTGGCATAAGTACTCCTATTCCTTTGCTTTGATAGATAACTGTCTTCACAGACACAATATGCTATGGTGATATGAAATATGAACATAAATTATACACAGGCAATGAGCTTGCTCACTTGCGCCGTTTCCTAGCGCGCTCCCTTACTGAACGCTTGGAACACATTGTGTCGTGTGCATGCTGAGTGACATGTGGTTCTGGTGCGCAGCAGAGAGGTGAAATCAACAGTACAAAGTTACTTCAAAAACCGGCAGCTCTACGAGTAAAGATCATGTCAAGCGGATCTGCGTTATATCCAATTCCATCCAAGGTTATTCATTGTTGAATTGTGCAACTTCTCAATAAACCTGACAAAATGGTTGTAAAAAGATCTATTGTAGTAACGGTTCAGAGCAACCCAAACAATTATCACATTAAAATTGGTCATAACTTTATAGGAAATAATTTGGCATTTCACGATGATCTCCAAGAAAGAACGTAAAACGTGTCAAAGCTGTAATCCCCCAAAGTATTGGTGTTTAAAAATGACAGAACCATTTGGTGTGCTCCCTTTTTACTCCGATGCTTTTCACGGCTTAACCCCGGCTGAGTCATGCGCCCCGGCTGAATTTCTGCACCTCGGCTGAGTTGATTCGCCCCAGCTGAGTCATGCGCCCCGGCTGAGTCATGCGCCCCCCATGAGTTTTTAAGTCCATCGTTAATTGCTTATTTTTAAAAAACATGATTCATTCCATTTGGTCTCTTTGTAGAACTTGAATGTACGAATCCACGCAAATTCCTAGAACGTGGAAGATACTAGAAACTAAACGAAAATGTTGACATGGCGTACTAGTGTCGTTTGGGACTTTGTATTTTTTGTTTAACACCAAAGCGAGGAGAATGCGATATTATTCGGTTGACTTCATTGCCTTTTACAACAAACCTTAGCCCAGTTCGAGAAAACTGAAGAGAAAGTATCTGTCACAAGGGGTTTAAAAAACGGTGGTGTCTCTGTGGCTCAGTGGCTCAGTGGTTAGAGAGCATCGGAGCGCGGAATCCGAAGGTCTGAGGTTCGATTCCTCGCGGGGACTCCGGTTTTTTTTTTGTCCTAAGCTCGTGACAAGACGAAAAAAAGATCTTTCTCTAAAAAATTAAATGATTTACTGAGGCATTTCTTGAAGCCGGTAAGTTCTAAATAGTTAATTTTCTTGTATAATTCTTTTTACGAAGGACTGCAATTTGAACCGAATTTCTTAAGCATTTTCCCGGCCTTCATTTCTTTGTGTCTTCATTCGTTTGTCCCCTTTTATTCATGATTGATTATAATTCATGAAACACTTCAATCAGAGCGATAATCTGGACACGGTATTCAAGGGAATGTTCTCCCTCCCCCAAGGGATGTGGAGGGCATATATTTATTCGTTCCAAAAAGGTAATTGCCACCAAATAAGGTTTGCTTCTCAGGGTCTTGCATCTTAAACAGTTGGGGTGTGCGATTTTGGTATTTATCATCTCGTGCAAGCTGAGTTACTGGACCAGAAACAATTCTGATAATCACAATTCTTTTAAAAACCTCAATCAAAATTTAGGCTCAATGTGATGGACGCTCCTCCCTGAAGTCGATGAGCCTCATCTAAATTTTTAGTTTTGGAGCTTTACAGGCCAGTAGGAGAAAATGAGAGACGAGTGCGAGGAAAACGCAAGTGGCAAGACACAAGCAGCTGGATGCTTTTTACGCGCTCCTCCCTTCAAGCGTATCCAGCCCTTCACCTGCGCGCTTTCTTGCGCTTGACTCGCGCTTTCCTCCACCCACCTGAAAAGCGCAAAAAAATAAAACCTGTTCCACAAGCTGAGATGCCCCTATGAAAAGAACATTTTTTAGCGCTTTGAAAGAGACAGGTGAATGAATGGATTTCTTTCAGGGTGACTTTGAACCTCAAATAAACTTTCAGATTCATTCCCATTTTTGTTCTTTTCACCTACAATGAAATAATGAAACCTTTTCCACAAGCTAATATGTCCCTATGAATAGAACGTTTTTCAATGTTTTGAAGGAAGCAGGCAATTTAGAACCGCAGCATTTTGATGCGCGGCACAGCTGATTACTCAAATCATGATAACTAACCCAATTGCTAAAGTGGCTTTCTTCCTGTGTTGTTAAATTGACAGCACTTTAGACTCATTATGCGTATTTTCAATCTTGCTCTTCCTGCACAATAGGGTAACTTGGCGTGTATGTACTCCTGTCTTTTCCTTCACAGGAAAATAATAGAATGTCGTCATCATTTTTGAACCCCATCAGGAGAGAATTACGAATTTTTTTTTATTTGTCACTGAAATATAAGATAATTAATTGAATCACTCATTGAAAACCAATTTCAACCGTTTGAGTCACACGGTTCTTGCGGGCGAATTTTATTAATCCTTTTTCGATGTCTGAATATGTTCCTATATTCTCTAAAATGCAACTACTATACTGTTCATTTTTTCTCTGTCGCATGCAAATTCGGCAATCACAATGTCCTTTATTCGGCTTGATTCTTGAATAGTTGACTAAGCGTGCGAATAAAACTCTGCGAAAAATCTGTGACGTATCAGCCGACAATTGGCTGCAGTTGTTAATCCATATTCAACAGAAATTGTAGAATTTTCAGCAAACCACGCTGTCCGTCGAACAGTGAAGAGGTGCCGTCCGAAAGGATGAAATTAAAGTTGCTCTCTGGAAGGAAGAAAGCGCTTGACCTAGAAAGAAGAGCAACGAAAACCAATGTTTTGTGACTATAACAGCAGGTAAGCTTTCCTTTTTGACTATATTGACCTAAACTAGTTTAGAGAGCCAAAGGATTCGTATCATAACACTCGAACGAGTCAGGCGAGTCAGTTCCTTGGTTTAAGGAGCTCTCGTACTCGAAGTTTAATGAATTAGGCTGTTGGCTTCGAGGAAAGCAAAACCTGTGATTATGAAAAATATTTTCAGAGAAACGCTCCATTCAAGATTTTTTAGCGTCTAAAATCAGTAGGGAACCTCATCCTGTATTCGATTTCGGCTACGTGGATGTGTGACGACTCTTCTACTAATTGTATCAAGCGTTTATCAGTTGGCGGCCTTTCCTTTATTACAAATAACATTTCGAAAAGTTTTCGCGCTTTCCCTTTTTCTATCATGGTATTAAAGAGCGATTAAATTATATAGGTTTTTATTTTTAAATTCCCAAAATTGTTTGTCTTTGTAGAAATTGAGCATTCACTGATCAGATTCATAATTTTTACTTTCAGGAGGAGCATTGCTGTAAAATGGATGGAAGATAAAAGATTCTGGTCAGGAGAAGACACTGGAATCATCAAATGTTTAGTGGATACTGCAAAGATAAGAACTTTGAAATTATTGAGTAAAGTTAGCAAAAATGGTGGCTCTTAAAATTTCTCATTATTTTACGAGGTCTCCAATTGTCATGAATGGATGAAACTGATTAACTGGTAAGTCAATAGTTTTCAATCAGCCATCATTTTTGCAAAGACTTTGTCGTGGTACGGATTGTTATGCAGACCTTGAGCGATCGTTTGATTAATTTGAACTCCTCGTTATAATTTAATGCAATTTCTCTCAGACAATTTTGTTGCATCGAACTGATTAACCAAGGTACAATTTAAAATTAACGTCAAGTAAACCTAATCACAGAAAAAGAGAAACCGAGATTGCTACTTTCAAAGCACTGATCGCTCATATTTTGTTTGCTTAACAGTTAGTATCACAGCTATATTCTCGTTGATGTCACACAAAGGTGATATTTATTAAGGTGGCATTTCGATAAAGGAGCTCCGACAAAGACCAAATAAAATTCAAATTTTGCATCTTTGTTAAAGAAGCTATTTCATTTAGTCCAAAAATCACATTGCTGAACACCATCGACTCATAAACCATACAACTGACTGCTGCGCTGCTCAATATCTTTCAGACCTATATTGTACAAACTATCTTCAGCCACTGACTCTGAAATTCTAGTTTGTCACCGAGACTCGTCTCAACAGTTGACAACAACAGAACGAACTATTTTCACTGACCGATCAAAACTGACTAATCAACGGACGAGCACCATTTTAATCTGATAGCAACCTACTTCACTCCAAACTGATCAATCGGCTTTTCGAACCCCAGTCATAATTTCCGACTAACAAACCTCACAACTGACTGCTGCGCTGCTCGATATCAATTCCATATTATACATCTTCAATGACTTACTTTAAAATCTAGTTTGTAACCAAGAAAAGACTTGTCTCAAAAGTTGACAACAACAGACCGAGCTAACCTCACCGGCCGAATAAACCTGACTAATCAACGGACGAACTCCATTTTAGTCTCAGACAGCAACCACTTCACTCCAAACTGATCAACCAGCTTTTCGAACCACAGTTATAACCTTCGACATACAAACCACTCTCTACTTGACTCTGACGATGACTTCTGCTTAGACCAATCACTAATTTCGACAACACTGAGACCGTCTTTTCAGGACTACTCTAACCCGGCAGCACATTACACGATTGACTACAAAATGCGATCAGGAGATAAATTTGGCCAAAAGCACGATCTAAATTAGATAGGAAACCTATTAACTTTTGTTTGAAAAAGGAAGCATTTGTTTTTCATACAAGAAATTAGTCGATTGCCACCTTGTATTTATATCTGCTACTTTGTGTCATCAACTGAATTTGGAAGTTAAATGTTTTAAAACTCTAATGCCTGGTCACATGCTCTTTC